GTAATGATAAATACCTTGGTAAAAGTTTCCTCATAACCTTGTGTATGAGAGGTGGGAAAAGCTAAATACACTTTAAGCTCACTCTTACACACGAAAAAGCAATTTTAGCAACAAAAACGGAAAGATGGCTACAGTTTAGAGTTKAAATTTACAGCCCGAGCCTGAGCAGAAATTTGGGCCGAGAGGGGCCGAAATCGTATGCTTGACAGTTTGGTCAAGTCGGGTTTCTGTGACACCCAATACATACTGCTGTATGTATCCGGGCATAAAATGGGTGTCAGACACGGTTCTGAAGAATCAAGAAAGCATTTAAAAATGTCTCCAAAGTATGTCTGACACTGGAGAAAATAGCAGACATTCTTGCATGCATAGCTGATGTGCAGAATAAATGTCAACAAAATYAAATTTGATTAAAAAATAATTTATGTCTGAATAAAGCTGCTGATTATGTTCACTTCCCATTGACYTCATTATATACTGAGACAAATTAAACTTAAATCAACGCATAATTTAAGTTGGTTTGTAGTTTGAGATCTTCATATTAATATTTTAGTGTTATACAATAGCATTAATAGCCAATTTAATTTATATCGTTATATCATTATCGTAATTTAAAATTATAATTCCAAATCAAACTGAATAACTGTCAATATAATTATGGTGTGATTTATTTTCAACTAGAAATATCTTCAAACTAATGAAATATAGTTATTAGTGAAGAAAATCCATCTGGACAACAGCAGACTGACTGCACGTAAGATATACGACAGGTCTGGACCACTCGTGAATTTTGTTCRTATCTGAAAAAAATCTTACAATACGACAAAATTGGTGAAGTCGACAAGTTCTCCTAAATCACTCGTAAGCACAAGTTAAGAACAAATCTGTTCGTACGAACAKTTCTTGCATGAAGCCCATTGTGTTGTGACATCACAAATGATCCATTACATTGTTAAGCCCCACCCCCAGCGGAGCTGTCCCGTGTCCTCAAATGAAATTAGATTTTTTTTTCCACAGTGTTGAAACTCTAGTACAACAAATTCTGTTGGCATCAGTTTCCATGACTTGAATGATCAGACACTATTAATCACAAATAATCACCAGAGTGCTGTCGCGAGTCTGGTTTTGCTTCACAACCTTCCAAATCATCAATGTAAATGATGCCATGGAGCAGCGGATTCATTGAAGATTTGGTGGTTCCTCGCGGGTCTGAGCACTTATAGGGGTCCCCATTCCTATAATTGGGTTTCGATGGCACCATCATTCCTGTGACAGCCTGCACGGACAGGATAATTGTGGCCTCAAATTCTATTTCAAACTTCATTAAGTTTCAAAGCAGGATTTGTCACTCTGACCAGCAAGCAAAGGAAGAGT